TTCGATGAAAAAATCGCACGGATAAGAGAAATGCTTACCTGTTCACGAAATCGTCGGCCTATTACGAGTAACCACAGAGTGATCGTGCGAATTTGACTTCTGTTCTTGGGGTTTTCTGAACTGAATAGCGACTCAAACTTTGCTGTTTAACAGAAGTTTGCAATAGCGTGCTCAAGGAGTTAAATTGAATGATTATTTTGGCTGATTGAATGTTGACCTGGATCGTCAATCAATTTTGCGCTAAATGGAATGAGCCTGACGTTAATTGGAGCGCCAATTTTAAAAAGTTGACTGTGCGGGAAAACCTATATTTAAATAGACGGTTGCGATATACCTTCTCAAAGGCGTATTGGTTTGAATGATGATGTTGCTAATCTGATTCTCTGTGCGCAAGGAATCATTGAAATGACTGTAAATCTCGTAAAACAATAATTATAAAGGATTATTGTTGGTAGGCCTATTGCATATTCATATGCCTTGTAGGTCTGCAAAGGGCAATGGAATTTCAGTAGCCCGTCGATTCTAGTGCTTTGTTATCACTTTCTGGCACTGCATCACTCTGGACTTGATTGTTAATATCCTTCAGTGATATAATTATATACCTGAAACCATCCACACGTATTTGGCACCCGTACATCTTCTGGTGGTAGGCCTCACAGAAAACTCTCCTCGCCGTGCTGTCATAGAACTCAGAGACGATGATGCGAGCCCCTGGATATAGAGTGAAACATTAAGTGACTGTGTAGTTGGCAAGAAAGGAAAACATATTCTAGGCATTACCATGCACCGAACTTCAGTAATTTTAGATGAAATTTAAGCAGAATGCAGCAGAATACAAGACAGATTTTAAATCACTTGCTTGACACAGACATCTACACATTTAATTTATTGGTCTATTCTTTGTAGTTAAAGTTACAAAAAGGTATAAAACCGGACCTATGCATATCGTAAGAAATATGCTGTTTCTACTTGTATTTTGCTTCATCTGACGAAAATCAGAGAAATAGACCAGTTCACTAATGAACTCAATTGTTTTTTCCAAATATAAAAGTGAAACAAGTGCAGAAGCTAAAGAGAAAACGACATTTAAATTTGTGCCCCTGCACATTTTCCATGGGCCGCTCAAGCTTATTGCCTTCACTTGCCATTTAAGCGCATGTGTGGATAAATTACAATTAATTAGTGAACTGGTTTATGATTATGATCTCAAATATGGCACATTATAAACAGTAGAGAAGCAAAGGCATTTTCCTTCGGGGTGTGCCAGCGTCAATTTGCTGACTTCGTGTTGCGTAAAATTCACGAAGTGAGCTATATTTCATGCCACAGGGGAAATACCGACAACTTATATCGTTTATGTGCCAATTTTGGATTTACTTGCCGACCGACGAGCTATTTGCCAACTCGAATTAATTATTGGGGAGTGCCGCAACCCCCCGAGCACCACGGTCGCTACGCCCCTGATAATAAATTAATGGAAACGTGCCACGAGTGTCAATTTGATTCTGTAGCTTGAGGTTTTCCACTTGCGTGGTGGGATTTTCAATGAAGGCCTCTGAGGCTATCACCTCGATCCCTGCTTCTTTGGCGTCTTGGTGGAATTCCAGCAAATGTCTGTGACAAAAAAGGGCGGACAGTCGGTTTTTCCATGTTTTAAAAAGTCTGTTTTCTTCAGTTGGGAATGACCACAGTTATTAGCTGTTTTGGTCTGTCAGCGGTCCTGCCACTACTAATTATAGTGCCAGTGTGAGCACTACTCCGCCGGCCATGCCTTTGATTTCGTCTATGTCTGTTAGTGTGGTGCCATCCTTGTCTCATGCACATGACCACCCACCTTTGACGAGCTTTTGACGAACTGGGGCTGGAGTACCGAAGCAGACTCAAGCAAAAACTTGGAATGGCGAGTACGTTGATTTTGGCGCTTTATTGCGGCCGGTCCGCGGTGGATTTGTCAATAGCACTCCCCAAGATTGTGTGCTTTTGATCGGCTCTACTGAGTCACCTACTTGGCAAATTCGCCCTCCTGCCTAGTACACTCACATCACGTTCACTCGTTTCAGGGAATCAGTTAAACTCAAGCGGTATATAAAACGTAGCCAATTAGTTTTGCAACCGTCCATAGTAAGTTTGACTTTTTGAAGAGGCACAATTTTGGATAAAATTGTGATATTTTCGATCAGTCGACCGTGAATGTAATGGGGAATTAATTGGATACATAGATGGACTCGATGTAAGGTATTGGTTTCTACACTCTTTTATTTCACGCCAAGTACAATGCTGGGATTGAGACCTTGTTTTGGCTGTGCTGAATGTCATGGTGTTGCGCTGGTTGCAACGACTTGAGAGAAATTAACAGGCGACAATGATGACGTACAACCACTTAAGTTTTCAGCTTCGCGGATTGCAACTACCGGAGGGTTATGAATAATAATAATGCTATAGATTGTTGTTTCGCGGATCGCAACGACCAGAAACAGTTGTGGAAGTTGGTTAAATTTCGCCGATCGCAACGGCCGGAAATAGACTTCCATGGTTGGTATTATGTTGGGGGTTTCGCGAATTGCTACGATTGGAGATTACATTTATGGTCGAAACTGTTGTGTATTTGCGGATCGCCGAGACCAGAAAACTTAGCTGATCTGACAATAAACTGCTCTGGCCATAGTGAACAAGAAAAAACTTTGTCGATGCCTGAATTTCTTACTGTCTTTTCGCATAGGGGAATAATTATCTCCAAAGGGGTCAATCTCAAACCTTTATTGGTTTTACAGGAGCTACAGTAGTCTATAGTAGACGTACCAATGAAACACAGGAACAGACTTGTAAATCTTTGCCACTTTCTTTCAGCCAAACCCTTTAATGAGAGCCAACTTGGCAACATTAAGCTTTGTCCATGGTGGATACAGACGGAAGAACTGTGGGAACAGTGATCGAGTTAACAGCTTTGGTGAGCCAGCACCGTTCGATATCTTAACAAAACACAGAATGGATGCAAAAGGAAGTAGATGTTTTCTGGATTTAATTAAAGAAACGAACGGTTTGCCCAAGCTTCTCAAACTTTGCGATAATTGAAAAGAATTGCAAGGTTTTGTAACAATGACCATAATTAATAATTTGTAGTTTGCCAGGCTTATCCACCAACGCATCCAGTAAAATCCATGTGTACTACGCAGAAAACGAAAAAGTCATGTAAATAGCTAAAATAAAAAGACAATACCAAAAGACGAAGAGAAGGAAGGGAGACGACAACACTCTGAAGTCAAAGCAAACCAAAGAAAACTATGACATAATTACTATTCAGCCAAAACCTCATTGTAAAAGCTTGATCGGATAGAAATTCAACGAATCCCGTTGAAAGCAGAATCATAGTCTCGTTTGATAACATGGAAAATTATGTCAAAGATTTCTACCTGAATAAGGTTCCAGTAGTGCGAAGCTTGTGCTGTAGGTTCGGTATCTAGGGCCTCCTCCAATCACCATGACCTTGGTACCGTAGTGCTTTTGTTGAAGAGCTCTCGGTACATAGCTTTGCCCCCCTTGCACTGGACAAAAAACCCATCAAACTCCATGCTTCGTCGTAACTTTGCTGTTTGAGCGTTTGATCAATTTAATTATGAAAACTTATACAACCTTGTGTACAACACAATACAAAATATGTTACCATGGTAACAAAAACAATTTTCTACCATTTACAGTGTTTTTGTTAGGCTTGTCATTGTTATAACTCAAATGATTTGAAAAGGAAATGTGATCTTAGAATTTGAAGTAATGACAAATTGTCTCTTATAACGTACGATACCCGGACAGTTGAGTCTGCCTTTGGATGAAAACGAAACAGGGCGTGTACATGCCTTCAGCCTTTGTAGTTGTTTGTTTTGTTTGAATCCTTCTGCTCAGAACTGAAGACATGTATACATTTTAAGGGGAAAAAGCATTAAGTCATACTGCGCCAAGGGAAATGCACATACTAATCATCATAACTGGTAATCAGAAAAAGGTTTCTTACAAACCAGAGGTTGCCAACACAAACACAGAAAACATGCACAACAATTGGTCAATGCATAAAATTATTTACATTATTTTAATTAACAAAATACACCACATGAAACAAACAATGGGCCTGCATTAGCGAAATTAGAAACGGCCATGCTAAGAAAAACAAAATTAATAAGATAGCCATGCACAAAAACATTAAAGTTTTACAGACACACAACTCAGTCAAGCAAAGGAAATCACTATTACAAGACTTTAACTTACCCTTTCTTGTATGAAAAATAAAGACCACTGCCCGGTCGGTGCAGAACGGTGAGCACAGCCATCAAGGCTGCACCCCCTAAACAGCATTGCCACACTAGCACGGACCCCAGTTGCTACGAAAACCAACCACCTCCGGCAGCCCACAGGCAGATCCCAGCAGCAGCAATGTATACAATCATCGGAATAGGGGTGCGGTCTTCAAACTGTGCTCACGCACGTTCACCATAACTGACACTGACCGAGGCCGAGCAGCCCGCTACAAGGCCTTAAATACGGAATGAGACATTCCATGCAAACAAAAAGGTCCATGCACCTTTGGTATTCAGCGAACAGCAACAAAAGACAGGTATGAGTAGAGGCTTTATGTAACGGATTGAAACTTATTAACGTTTCTACACCCCTCCTTGCCTTGTCAAAATATTTTCTTTATCCCCTATATCGTTATTTCCTCTCAGTCAGAAGTAAGAACCCACAAAAACGGAAAGGACTCCATTCAACATGCCGGCGATTTTATCACTATTGCATCGTGGAAAAAATACAAAATGGTGACTTCTATTGGCTTACATATGGAGCATTCACCCTCTCAGACTGAGACATGTTCATGCGGATTGATTTGAACCGCTGAAGTATTTTGCTGAAAGCAATTTCTTTTATATGTCGTTCCAATCTAAAAAGAGTCAATGTTCATTTAACAACGGCCACAAAAACGGTTATCGTCAGCCGTTATTGCGAAAGACCGATATCTTACCTGAGTATCCCTTGGTATGGCAACAATCTCGTAACCCGGTAGAATATCAGGATTGTCGTTGACATCCGTCACTGCTGGTTCGATAGCAGGTATATAGCGGTCTGTCCTCCTGCCAAGGGACTGGATTCCGGGTACAACCCAAGTAGGTAGAGCTTGGTAACATTGGACTGATAGACACAAGGAGAGCCAGCGTTCGCAACGAGGAAAAAAAAGCAGTAACATTTTTTCCTTCCCCCAAAGTCTCAGAGCGAATATGTCTGGCCATGTCATCTGATATTTTAAGGAGACGTCTATGTTTTCTCCTCACTTTCTACAGTTTGGCTACGAAATCTGTACAGCCGAAACTATAGTGTCGCATTCTAGTGCTTTTGCGCAGTCAGAAAATGAACAATGTCCCTTGCGATGATGGGGAATTGTGATGGCTTATCGGAAACGTTGATGGCCAAAGAGACTGTATAATTGTTTTTATTTCATTTTGCTCCTACTTTTCAGACTATCACCAAACTTCAAAGGTTTCAATAAAGCCCAAAGACATATTTGCCTGTGTAAATTGTGTTCCACAAAGGCTTCCGCGTGAAATTTATGCATTGCTTCAAAATCAAATTATACTGGTGAAGTCACACCGTTGTGAATATGTTTTCATCTCCTTTGTAGTACCTTTTCATGATAACGATTCTGGAAATATACTTTTTGAGTCAAAGTTGATTGAATGTCGTCAAGTTAGCGCAAAAACTGGTATCTTGGTTTTGAGTACTTTGAGAGAAACGCATACATAGATCGCGTCAGAGTAATTTTGTGCTGAATTTAAATAATTTGACTTTAAGCAGCTTATGTATTCAAGCACTTAAATCGGTTGTTCTGGGCTTTGGTATCTTGATTATTTTAGTTCAACATACTACGATTTAACTGGAACCACAAACTACCATATTCCAGTCAAAACTTCGTAATTCGTTGCCACACTGGATGCAAGACCTCGTTTTAAACAGATCCTTCAAAAACAGTGTATGTAACGGGTGTAAATCCTGTTTGGAAAAAACAGGAAATATATTTTTTGAAAATATGGAATGGGCCTTAGAAAAATCGCCAGACTGTTTTGTGCCCAAAAAAGTAAAAAGGCTCATGATCTCCTCAGAGGAAAAAATTAAGAGACGAAGGTATAGGCCTACTTTAATTAAATAAGACGGAGACATTCGTGTGATCAAGAAATGTCAGGTGATTGAGGGGTAAATGCAGTTGGGATAACAAGCATGAAAAGAGAACGTTAATTAAGGTGGAGAGTTTTTATGCTGAAAAACTGTGTTTGGGAAGTGAACACAACTTCGTTATCACTTTGTATGCATGTTTAGATACTAAACATTCAGTCTCAATGTCAGTGGCTGATCACTATGTCCATTAAAACCTTAAACACATGTACCACCTAACCATGTTTACAAACTGACAACAACAACGTGTTCAGAAAAAAGTGTTTCCTGGCCGAAACAGTTTTTGCAGTGTAACGTTGGAGTAATGTGACAGGAAAGCAAGTCGCTGGAAGCTTTTACATCTGCAATGGACGTCCCAGGAATGCTATCTTTCCGTTTGGGAAATACGTGTATTACGGGAAAATTGAGTGACAAACATACACGCAACGTCATGTAATTATGCATCAAATTACATGACGTTGCGTGTATGTTTGTCAACCTTCTAATCTAGTCATGCAGTTATACGTGTTACACGTGAAGTTTCCAATTCATGGGTGAATACAGCTACAGCATGCATGCAGTGAAGGGTTGTGTTCGTTACTTGGTGAAAATCATGCTGGACCAGTGCGGATGAAGTGATCGATTTTGCACATAAGAAACTTAACGTTGGAAATTAACAAAACACGGGTGCTTTTCATCAAATTCACTTTGTTCTTGTGTTTACAGGGTGGATTTAGCAGGAGTGTGGATATCCAAGCATCATTTTCTTTTTGATTTTCAACAAAATGCATGCTCCCGGAGGCAATCAGGACAAAGTTTCAGTTACGTTATCCAGTGCATGCTTTTCATCAGTTTCATGTCAGCTTGCATGGTGGTTAGATAAACAACAGAAATGAAAACCTAAATTAATTTAATCTATTACTGGCTGCAAAAAGCAAGACGAGGTATTCTTACGGATGTTAAAGATTAAAATTATCAAATTTGATGTTCATACCAACTTTCAAGTTCATTTGTCTTACGATGTTGAAAAATGGCCCGGAGAATGATTGTCCGGAAAAAAGGAGAAAAATGGAACCGTACGACTTCAAAAAAAGTGAATGGGTTAAGCTCAATTAGCGGTAGATACCTCATAGGCAACTCAATAGTATGCATTAACGTTTAGTGTTGCTTTCAAAGAAAATGGACAGATGCAATGCAGGTTTGATTTTCATGCTATTGTCTTTAAAGATGCAGTTTATAGTTTATTGATGAGCTTTCGACATTCTCTCATTTCAGTTAGAATAGAATAGAGGAGCAACCTGCCTACATATACATTCATACGTCCAGTATTTTGCTCATGTTATAATAGACTTCATAAAAAATGGAAAAAAATATGCAATCTCTGTTAACCTACCGAAAGAGACGATGATAATACCACCGAATTTCAAAGGGAGCACGGGTCCATTGAAATCTAATTTTATCGGAATGGCTGAGGAACACCAGTCCTGAGCCATGTCCCTTTCTCTGTTCCTCCTGGTCATCCACCACCCCTATTCACGCTCATAATAGTTATTGTTACAAACACATCCTCGAACAATAAGTGCGCCAACAAGCGAGATTCCTAAAGCAAACGAGCATGACTCAACCCAGTTACGTCCCAGAATCATACGTTACACGTTTTGCAGTATTGTTTTAGTGTCATGGGCACAGATACCCATCTAGATGTGTCCGTCCAGAGTTCATTTGTCAAGTTTAGATAAACGGATAAACTTATCTAGAAGCACTAATTCCGTCATGTACTTTTTTGGTATTCCGGTAGATGAAGACATGGCGTGTTTCCTCGACATCCCGAACGAGTTCATAGTCTTCACCCCTGCATTCATTTTCTGCAAGCACAGTAATTAAGGTCATCACAGTGATATGACTTTTCGTGAAACCTCCTTCTGTGCTGTGGACTATCAAAAGCGAAAGATTTCTAAAGTTTTTTTTTATATTTCTAATTAAATGCTCGAAAAAAACCAAGGGTCAAAATGAGACCTTTAATTGCAAAAGTAGCACTGCCAAATTCCTTGTTAACTAAGTTGACAACATTTGATCAATTAGCTTCTCTTCGGATGTTTTCCTGCTGTCTTTCTCAAGGTAAAAGCATCTCCTAATTTTCAAGCCAAATCGAAACCACACCAAAGAGGGAATGTTCAAGAACGACTTGAATTAATTAATTGAATTCCCAATGAACGCATTATGATATATTGTTTCCTGGTGTGTCTTCTGTTCAAATAAGAAAATTATGTGTTTCTTCTTTAAATAAATACTGATTTTTATTTGAGCTAAACAAAGGGCAGCTTTCGTATTGCATAGCCTCAAGACGTTTACAGACTGACAGCCGTAATTGAAGATGTAAATCTGAAACAAGCATCGACACTTCCTTGTAACTGAATAAAATTATGCCTGATGCTGCGTTTGTTTTCTCGGTAAAACTATATTTGTACTTACAGTCCGATTCAGGTTTTGTTTTGTGAACAAGATCGCGCCTTCATTCGTGTTTATGGTCAGCAACACTTCGGGCAAGATATCTTTTCTAGACGTGGATTTGAAAAGGCGCATCGTGCTCCTCCAACATGGGCATTCGTGTAAAGGTAAATAAAACATGATCAACTTAAATTTTTAAAGTCACAGTTTCAATAATGGAAATTATCAAATAAGCTAGCAGTCTACAGTCTTAATCGTCCGTTTTTATCAGGTCTGCAGTGTTTGGCAACTGAATATTTTCCCAGAATGACGTACAACGCGAGTTCTTTATGACGGTCCATAATTCAGTACACTCAAGTTAACCACGCTTTTCATCGTATTTTAATTACTATAGAAGTTGGGAGACCGTCCCTTCATCGATATAGATTCTTCTGTGGGCACAGCTCCCGTCAACTTCTAAGTCCGAAAGGCCCGTACACAAACGAAGGCTAACACGACTAACGACACACAGACACACCACTGTAAAACATGGATCTGTGTGAGCTAACGCATAACAATGCAGAGCTGAATACATACAACCCTTCAGAGATTTCTTCTCGCCGATCACTGTCATTTAGAATCCGTGGGTGTGTTTTTTTATGAGATCTTGATTTCCATTGAAGGTGTGTTAATGTTTGGTTTGTTTATTTATCTTTTATTGACTTGTTAATTTTTTTCGATCAGTAGAGTTTGTTTATCTCAGAATCATTCTCATCTCAACTGACCGGAGGCTGTTATTCTTGCCTCAAACATTTCCGTTACCCTTGGCCAGGCAGTCCTGTGTGCTCCATGACGGAATTACGTCATTGGAGCCTGCTTTAACCTCAGTAACATTGCGCACGGCGTCGAAGCCGAACAAAGCGCAGGCGCACCTATGACCTCTCCCAAAGACCTTGGCTACTGAGCTGCGTGTTCAGCTTGGAATCTGATCAACCTTTCATCAAATACGTACGGCCTTCGGCACACAGAACTGGGACAGAACAGGATTGTAAACTGACACGTACTGGTCGATCATTGCAACACGGAGCTGCTTGATGGTTTAAACCAAGCGCAGTCCGATGGCGATGTCATTTCTCACACTTCTGGGTTTCTTTCTGAAACTCGTGACAACTGTGGCACAGCGGGTACCACCCAGTGAGTATGGCACTGCTTGTTTGTTTCGTTGTTTTAACTTTCTCTTCTGTAGCCTACACGCAGTAGCGTACAGTGCCTACTAGTTTAACTTGTGTTAGGGAACCAATGGTCCGTGATAGTATAATGGCACTGTGACGACATTTTGTAGTAAACGTTTCCAAAGTTTGCTTCAACCTTTGCAATTTGAAAATAATTGCGCACTATTCTAGCTTTGATTATAATTTCGGAACATTGATCCTTGTACACAGTGTACATATTTCCTATAGTTTCCACATGGTCAGTGTCCGCGAGCTTACCGTCTTTGTGTGAGTGTAAAGTGTTGGACCACCTTAATTCCTTCTACACATGCACTTGATTGAATATTGCTTCGCCATACCATTAATTACTACCCAAACCAAATGGGGTACATTGCTGTTTAGTTAAAGCCGCTGTACTCTTGAGGTGTCTGTTAGTATATAGAGTATGATATTCGCTGCAGGTATTTTAGTTTCCTTATAAATTATATAAACTTTACAAACGTTTGACCTCAACCCCACCAAGCCTCTGCCGCGCCTGTGCATGTCATTTGTTTTGGAAAACGCGGCCGTACGTGCAACATTATTATGGGGCATGCCTTGGTCAACTCGTGTTTGAGCGTTTTCGTGGGCGCTGATATTGATCTTTTACTGTATCACATCTTTTGTTATTTTTTGTCAAACTGGAACTTAAATGTTTTGAATGTAGGGCTTTATGGAAGTTAGTAATCACACTTGAGTCTTGTCAATATTTCACGCGATCCACCTCGCCGCGATTGTGATTTAAGATAATTCAGATCCACTTAAATTTTGTGAATATCGTTAACTGGGCGACTAGACGTTCCTTTGTTGTAACCCGAGTGATAAATATGACGAAGCAAACAGAACAGGTTGCCAGTTTATTTATGGTCCGCGGTCGCCGCGATTGGTGTCTGACCTCTGTAAGCGGAAAGAAAGTGTTGACTATTTAGGTGAAGTGGCAACACACAAGAACCCTTGACTCTAGGCCCAGCTTGCGACATTATTCTATCTAATATTTTAAACCACAAAACTTCACATGCGTCTTACTCTGTGATATATTTTGATCCACAATCTACAATTTAACAAAAGAATGTTACACATTTTAATTCATTTATAGTGAAAGTAGACAAGCATGGACAGGAGATCCCCACATAAAAAGTACAGGCAAATTAAAATGAAACCGGAACGAATGAAAACGAAGCTGGGATGAGAATATAATCCTTGCTGTCTGTGCCAGGTTCATTGTTATCAGAAAGTTTTCCGTTCTGCCGCGATTACCCTCCCCCATAGTTTAAGGACTACTTTGAGGCCCCCGGCCGCCAGTCCTGGTCTTTGGATCACACGATTATATCTAGGGGTTCAGCGCACTCTTGTGCTTTCTTGAACTTGTCAGTTTTGGTCAAAAAGGCATTAGTAGGAAATTGTGGGGGTAGGCAGCAGGAAATAAATAGTCGTGTCCCTTTCTGCCTGTCCGTCATTCACCGCACTGTAAAAGCAGAAAAACGGGCAAGCAGTTATCATTACGTAAATTATGGACACGCTTCACTCGTGAATCACTTTGGAGATAGTAATGAATTTCACGAACACTGCATGCAGAGTCCCCTATATCAGATTGAAGTGTTCTAATGCATTTAGGAGTTTGGCGAATAGTTTGCTACTTTCATTTGGTACTTTTAAATTCATATTTTCTGCTTCAATATAGAAACGTTACACAACTCTTGTTTTTATATTTTCTGCATCAGTTGATCGTATTCAACACCTGAACCGAAACGCAAGGGGTTTTGCGCTTGGAACTTGTGACCCAGATGCCGCGGTCACGTTGTGCAATGTCATACCTTTTACTTGCTTGACAATACCCACATCTTGGATAAGGATGAAAATGAATTAAAATTACTATTATTAATTATTTCTGATAATGACAACAAGGATTCCTTCCAAGTGCCCTGGGCACTGTTGCTCGCAAGCCCGAAGAAAGCTGACAATGAGAAGGGGGATCATATTTCCCTAGGCTTGTACGTTTCTTATACCAGAGTGTATACAAGAGATCTTCGCAGTCAATTTTGAACTTAAATGCAACAAATGTAACGTACAGGAAAAATTGCTTTTCATATTTTCTTACAACATAATAGGCCTTCGTCTTGTGATCTGTACTATTTATTTGAATGGATCTATAGGCTGCAATTCGTTGGTTTTTCACTGAAAAAACGTTTAGCCTGACGGCCAGCCGAAAAGCAGACACTTTATTCTATTTTCTGTTTTCTATTTACTGTTTTCTATTTCTTATGTACCATCGACGAGAGAATTAAATGCTTCGCAATAAAAAAAAAACACACAGGTAAACACTGATATTAATAAGGTTCACTTTCAACTCTCACAGGGCCAACTGAATGTAGCTGGTTTACGGTATTTCCTGGGAAGTTGATAAAGGAGTGCAAAAAAAGATTTGCCGATCTTTCTTCTCAAGGTTACTAAGCTTCCTTTCAACGTGACCATACAGCAGACAGCCGGCTGCAAATATGTTGAATTACAACAGCCACAATGCAAAATGACTGTTTGACGTGCGAGGTCACGTACTCAGTACATTTTCCTGTAGTTGCGTACAGGCACGAATGCAAAACAGGTTTACAATGTACCCCCGTACTAAGAATCGGTCTTGTTAGCATACAAATTACTTTTTGTGAAGGGGTATACAGTTTAATTGCACAGGCTGAGGAGGTCAATTTTATGTCCCATAAACACTCTTACTTGAGTGGTTTTGTTGAGGGTATGCGAAGTTTCTTCAGTGGAATAAATTGTCAGCGTTAATGACGAAAACCTCAACAGCGAAGGCTCAATAAGTGAAATATAAAAATACAAATAGGGAAGAGAGGAGAAGACAAGGCAGTCGTTTTGTCACGATATGTCACTATCTTTTTCTCATAAAATTCGTGTTAATTTAAGTCAGTTTCAAGTTAAGCCCGCGTTGAGATATCGGTTCCCATTCTTAATACTTGTTTGTTATAACCTAGCACCAAATTTTTTACTGCCCGTATTAAAAAAATCAATAATGCAGTATAGGACTGAAATTACGGTACCTGAAATTTTTCAACTCACATTAAAGTGGACATTTCCCCCGTTAAGACAGTCCTCTCGCATAGTAGTTGTCCAGAAAATATGATTAAATGTTCTCTACCTTTAAAATATTCCTTGTAGTTACCGCATGAAGCTTTCAGTCCCAGTAAAATAGCAACTGTAACTGGCTTCTTTGCTTTAATAGTAGCCATACTTGTGTATATAAAATAAATAAAACTGGATTTTGGAGAAACCCCTGGCCCCTGAGAAAGCCTTTCTTAGCACACCAACAGCCATTTTATCATATAGAACTAGGCTTGCTAACTTGGCAATTGTACAGGCACTTGATTGGGTCTGGCACACGACAGAAATCCTAACTGTGTTATATGCATTTTATTTTCAGTTTAAATCGGGTATGTTCTTGGGTAATAGATAACCTTTGGATTAAATGTCAACAAATGTAACATTGGTCCCACAGTGCGACTCAGCATCGATCAACTCGACGTTCAACTCGTGATGGGAAGCTCCCCCAACGAAGGGCGAGTGCTCATTCGCTGGTCCCCGGATTCTCCCTGGACCGCTGTTTGCCATGATTTCTTCTTGGTTAACAACGCAGTTCCCTTCCAGATGTGCCGGCGAATGGGATATCCGTTTGCTTGCGGACAAGACTATGCTGGATCCCGCCGGACGGACGAGGCGTCGCTGGTAAACATCACTAGTGAACGTTTCCTGGTGTCCTGCGCGGCTGACAGCACTGATCCGACTTTTGGTGGCTGCAGTTTGGAGCCTCTGCCTCCCAGCGGCGATCCCACTTTAGGACCACCCTGCACACATGACAACGACATGTGGCTGTCTTGTGGATATTCAGGTGTGATACACGTGTTTACCAAACCAATAAAGCCATTTAAAGTAATCAAATCAATAAAAATGACAATCATCATAACATGCTTAAGACGTTCTTTTTCAAAAGATACAGGGAGTGACATATGTATTTCGACTAGAACTTGGAAGCATCCAATTATTTGTGTTGGCCCTTCTTTTTTCAGTGGTTTTAGGCAGTTTTCCCTCGATTTGTCTGTAGAAGTGAGGTGAACATAATTTATTAGGTATTTCTGGCTGGTAGATCCCATCTACAATTACCCGAAACTCGACTTGTAATTGCCACATAAAGTTAATCGAAAATACTGAAATAGTGCTGGTATTTAGGAATGGGAAAGAAGTAATTGCCGTCGTGGTTTGCATTATGGTTACTTTTGTAATCACCATTTTAAAGTGGGCATTATATGATTGTTGTGTTTTGTTGTGATAAGGTTTTAATTTGGTGTATTTTTTTGGTTTTGACGATTCGCTGACAGGCATGCCTGACTTCGAACTACGTTTGGTAGAGGAAAGTTACCTTGATCCTGGCGGTCTCCTAGAAGGCCGTTGCAGCCCGCAAGACGAGTGGAGGGCCATCTGCGGCAGTAGTTTCCATCGCCTGAGACTAGGCCGCGTGGCGTGTCGGGAACTGGGGTTCTCCGATTATGCTGTCAGGGGCCTAAGGGTCCCTCTGGAAAGACTGGATCCCCAACGCAGGCCGAACTTGGACCTGTTCGTGGACATCGGCTGCATCGGGAACGAAACAAGCCTCACCGAGTGCCAGCACTACTCGCTGCGGGAGTGCTCCAAGTACCTCACGATCGAATGTTTCACTGGTGAGCACCTCTAACTTTCTGTCTGTGGGCCACAAGCACGCATGCATTGGGTATGCCCAGTGTGTATGGCACTTAGAATGGCGCTTAGAACAAGGGGTTTTATCCCTTTGTGCACAAAACCTCAGCATTTATACGTGAAATGGCCAAATCCGAACGTGAAAGCTGGGCTGAAATGGCCCAAAAATACAAACATAGTGGATTTTTTTCTCTGCGATGTGGTTTGGATGTAGTTTTTTTCATGTTAGGGTGTGTTTTATTCATTTAAGTCGTGAGCTGAGGTTCAAGTTCGCTAAATAATCTTTAACTCCGCTTATTTTTTCACAAATGCAGGGGTTACTGAATATGAAGAGACTTCGTATCTTTGTGGCTCGAAGCAGCTGTGTCGAGAGCAGTGTGAACAGCCTCATCCAATCAATGGCTCAAGTGATGACATTTTCCACTACTGTCAATGTGACGACGTTTGCGGTCTTTTTGACGACTGCTGTTACGATTACGGGGGTATGTGCAGTCCGGGTCCGCCCGAACTCAACCGTGGAGGCTTTTCCATTGAACAGTTTGGATGCGTTTGGGTACCAGGGAGTCAGTTCACTCATATCGGTTACGTGGCTGTAGATCGCTGTCAAGCTGGCTGGACGGATGAGGGCACGCGTGATTTATGCGAAAGACCCGTGAATATCACGGATGTCATCGGATCGCTGCCAGTGTATGACGAGAAAGGTGTGGATTTTAAGAACACCTACTGTGCCATATGCAACGGTAGGTCTTTGAAAACGCTCAAAAGATGGGATGTATCCGCCACGTACGATGATCAGTATCCATCACTTGATACTTTTTACCCATCCCTGAACGAGACATTACCGAGCTTAGGCTGGATAATGACGCCCCCAAGGGGCCATGATATCATACGGCAGTGCTCAGCCCATCTGATAGACACATGCATGGAAGAATTTCGGGGAAGCCGGTTGGAAGCTGGGTGTAAGGCGTATTACGCTCCTGTTAAAGTCGAAGACAATTACATTCGCTACAAAAACCCTCACTGCGCCATGTGCAACGGAGAAAACATTTTTCCAGATAGCTCCTGCATGGATCAGACGTGTACCGAGTACTGTGCACCCGACCCCTGGGGACCATGTGCTGGTATATGCAGTCCCTTTGACGGCTTCCTGACGATTGAAGTTCTCTTTGACTTCTCCTCCTCGTCTTCCATCAATGGGATGTCTTGCTCGACAGGACAGATCTTCGACCCGTTTCTGGAGAGGTGCCGCGTACTAACGTGCGCAACTGGATATGAGATCCACGGTAATGAGTGCGTTCCAGCTCCGTCGATCTCTCCATTTCCATCTAACAACGAGTCACTGGTCATCGATTGTCTTACAGAGGGATCTAACCACATGACCACGGTACTCCATGTCGGGGCGAAGGTACAACAAATGATGTCGACTCTGTCTGTGAGTGTATTAGTACGTTCAGCCTCTGACGTCCGCAACCTGGAGATCATATTTGATAGCTCTGTCAAATCTGTCGTGAACGACTCTTCCCTACCCTGTAACATATCAGCTTTGTCGATTTTCTTGCCATTTCATTTTAACGTGTCCAGCCTTTGCAACAATTATTCCGTGGCAGGGAGCGACGTTTTTCCTGACTACTCAGGGCGTATTCTCGCAGCAGCGCGATTCCTTCACATTTCGAATGCGCAGTATGCGAAAGAAAGTGTGGCCCCGTCGTGCCTGAGGATGACTGAACTGAATTGCTCATCTCTTCTGACTCTGAGAGACACAGAATACTCTATGGTTTCGGCAAAACGTATCCACGTTTTTGCAACAGAAAATAACCTGTCCGCTGATGAGTTTGTTCTTTTACCAGATGGCTCGGTCGTCGTTTGCTCCTATATTGGACCGGTACCAGAAGGCGTGGAGCTGCAGGTCCGCCGGGCACTTTCTTTTGTTGGCAGCTGCCTGTCGCTAATCGCCCTTGCAGCTACTTTCGTGACGTACTGCGTGTTCCCAGACCTGAGGAATCTAGCCGGCATAGCAACGATGAACCTCGTGGTGGCGCTCTTCTTAGCGATCCTGCTATTTCTATTATCCGGTTATCTGAGCCAGAGCCAGGCTGCATGCGAGTTTGGAGCTGTGGTGGCGCACTTTGCCTGGCTGGCTGCTTTCCTGTGGATGACGATGCTGGCGGTGAAAGTTGCCCGCACCCTGACGTCCATGGTGCCGAGTAGCGGGCGCAGGAGGGTCAATACCCGGGAACTCATTGTCTATATCTGCCTTGCCTGGGGTGTTCCTTTCCTCATCGTCTGCATCTGCATTATCCTCCAGTACTGCAATTGCCCCACCTTGCCTGTGATCTACGCACAGGGCAGTATTTGCTGGATCTCAGACGCCACCACTCGGCTGGTTGCCTTCACTGTGCCTATGACATTAAGTCTTGTCTTCAACCTTTGTTTGTACGTCTGCACGATCATCAGTGTCAGGAGAAACAGACGTAGTTCTAGAGCAGTACGCAAGCACAGCAAGCTAGACGATGCCAAGGAGGAGCTGGTCATTTATGCCAGGGTAACTGTATTATGTAAATTGACAGTGTTATTAAAGTCGAGTACCTCAAGACCATCACAAGACTAGGCCCCACAAGACAATCACAGGACCAACAAAAAACCGCTAGTCTAAATACAAATCACAAAAACATTCCGTTGCAGTTGTTTACAATGTAGTTGATGCACTTGTGTGTGATTATTTGATGGCCTCTACTTCAGCACTGTTATAATTAGACACAAATTGCTTGTTGTTAGTTGCTAATGGTAATGCAGTCATGTCCAATGCCTAAATTAACAGTAACATTTATTATTATCCTTAATCTGTAGCTATGCGCTCTTGTGGGCGTGACCTGGGTGTTTGGCTTCGTGTCTCAGTCAGTGACGGGCATCCTGGCCTTCTCCTACATCTATATCATCCTCAACTATCTCCAAGGAGTCTTTATCTTCGCCGCTTTCTGCCTGAACAAGAAGGTTCGGAACCTGTGGAGGGAGAAGTTCGGCATGCAGAAGGAAGTCACGACGACAGGTGGGACCACTGATCCTAAGCATCGTTCAAGAGAATCTGCACTGGTGGCGTCAACGCTGCCGGACACCTCGGAAGATTCAAAGCTGTAGCCTGTTCAATAAACGATGGTGAATTGATTTCGGTCAGGACTGGACTGCGTGGAGAGGAAATGTTGACATCCTTTCTCCACTCTGTAAAACATCAGCATCTGTTGGCGAAGGCTCCTGTGTTGTTACATACTGTAAGCCCAATAAAAGCTGGCGAGTTTTAGAGTCTGATCAGTGAATGAAAGTTGGAATTTGAATCGTTTATTTTTAACCAAAAGTTAAACTGATTCTGTTCTGATTCAGGTATTTTTCAGTATTTGTTGTCATGTTTAGATTTTAGCAATTTATGTTCAAGAAGGGGATTTATTTCATTGTGAAATATGTGCCTGAAAATAAAAGGACGTTTAACTACATGTAATTTAAAATACGTATACTGCGTTTCGTATGTTCAGCATCAGTGCATTTGTCTTGAGTCATGAAACGGAATTTCAACTTCTTCTTTCCAAACATTATAGAATAAACTTTCGCATCAAGGTCTGCAAGACTTCGATTGTGGTAAACGAAGAATATGCGACGAACAGGTGAATGCATCAGCTAGGCGAAGCTGTCTTGTAAGCATTGTGGTTTAAGGGCTTTGAAAACTTCCGCAACTCCATCCACATTTAAATTAGACTTATACTTGAGAAAGGACGATTGCAAAGGGTATAAAAATGAGTTCTATTCAACGTCCAAAAAGATTGAGCCTTGACATCATTAATTCTATTGGAAAATATAATGCCAAGATCCTACCTAATAAAAGGCAAATGTCATTCATTGGTTCGGTCTGCATTAGCAATTAATTAAATCGATAAGAATTGTAGAGAGAGACTCAACAGTAAAACAAATCCAGCTGTGAAGGAAGAACAGGAGTGACGTTAAGTTCCAAAGAGCTGCAATGGAAAAATTATATGGGCGTATACTAGTTGATTATGTCTTCCCTGCAGACACCTTGATACTTTACAGTTTTGACGTTGTTGCATACAGGGGCGAAACATCTTTCCAAAATTTCTTTGATGTTGACTTCCACAATTACATTGTTATCAATTGAGGCAACCGATTTGATGAGCATATCAGATTAACGTGACGAGGGACATATTCGTTAGGGCACAAGTAAATAACCAGCGATTATTCCCTCCCCCCATTTAGTCAATTCAGTTGCTTGGGTTTGCACGACTCAGTACTTGTTACTGGTTACCGATAATTGCGCGATTTTATTTAAATAACTGAATTATTCCCTCGTTGTGTGGCGATGTATTTATTTGATGGCGCAAACTGAGCTTTATGGCATTCAGACTTCATACGTGTTTGTGGACACAGGCACGAAAAATGCATCACCCGAGGCTCGCATAGCTCTGTTTTGATTTCTTCGAATACCATCGTGTGTTAGTCAGTCCAATGCCACCAAGCTTTACCCACTCGGGCTGTTTGTTTGGTCGGGTTCATGGGCCGGGGCTGAGGCCACAGTACTTGCTACCAAGATGGCTCTTCGGGATGTTAACACTAATCCAGTTGTATTGCCAGATTACGAATTGGTTCTTGTTATCAGGGGTACGGAGGTAAGCGCTAAATGATTACACTACGGGTAACGTTTCATATTCTCCGAGCGTCATGCAGTACCATTGGGTCTTCAGATTTCATTCACAGAATAAAGTATTAGCTTTTCTTAACTAGCGACATGGCTTGGTCGAAGAATATTTCGCCATTGACTGTTTGCTTTAAAGCACCCTGTTGGTTACTTCAAGGGTCTGTGTTTATAATGTCTTGATTCTCCTGGGCGCCCCGGTGTTGTTGGTTGTGGATGAGTAAAGTACCCATTATGCCTCGTTACCTTACTTGATCTGACTGACCATTACCATCACACTTCGTCATCTTTGTTCCTTAAGTTATCTTTTTTTGACGTTTTATTCCTCAAGTATTATTCGGAAATACTTACCTGAGACCGTGTTAGTATATGCATGTATGCTGCAATAGTATATGGGCGCTTTATTTTGTTGTAAAAAGTGAATCGTTTCATTACAAAAATAATTGAACTTTAGGATTTGCGGGACCGAATAGAGAATGGTCCATTTTCCGAAAGAACCATTAATGTCTGATACTGAGCATTCTAACAAAGTATTTCTTTTACAGGAGGATAGGATAACAAAAGGGAAAGGATAGGACCGCATTCTTCTGTTGTAGATTTATTACCTTAAACGTTCCTCTTACTTTGATTACGTTGATTACTTTGATGAAAAATAGTGCTGGAGTTAACTGTCTTGTTAAACAACGTTTTGGAGTTTAAACATTTCTTGTACCCACTTTTTGCTCACATTTATTGAAATGGATAATGTTTTAAAATTTGTACTTTTTAAAAATCCGCTTAGCGATTTAACACATTCCTTAATGCACACAAAAACATGTCGAGGTTTAACATGTTGAAAATTGGGTATAATATAAGTGTTTAGAAATGTGTTTAAACTCTGAGCACAGTTTTAAGAGTTTAAAATATCTAGAACAAAGGCAAAAATGCAATCTATTTTCGTTAAAAAATTTATTTAAATAGTGGCTTTTAAACAGCAATAACTAAGTAACTGTTCGACGACGTCAGTAAAATTGTCGTTCTGACCAGGAAATATGCGTCGCTATAAAAAGCTTTGTGAATAAACATCTTTTTACTGTTTTTGCCCTAATTCGTCACAGAGAAGATACATAGATACATAATAAGGATAGTTACATAGTAAAGATAAAAGTTTAAATATGATTTATTTGCCCAATCTCTTCTCTGTCTCTGGGCTTTCTACGATACTGAACGCTTTTGAACGATAAGGGCCGATGATACGTGCACTGGTCATACTTCAGAAACTTCTACTGATGTGCAAATAAACCGTATAATGTATGAAATAAGTTTGCACTGAGTTTAATGTAACCTATATTTGTTTACTTTTTTGTTTTGTTTATGTATAATGAGTGTTGTTCGAAGAATCTAAAGAATATTTATTAAGCCTCGGTTCATTTCTAAAGCTTCACTACTAGGGAGGCATAAGCCCAGCGCTTAGGCGAATCACATCCTCTCAAAGATCTTAATGGAATGTCTGTCTGCGACAACGACGTCACCTGCGTGATTGAAGGTCATTTCTATCGGATTGTACAGCCCTTCAGCTACTGTTGCTACGAATGCACCGCTCGAGTCATAATGCTGAACTGCGCAGTTTCCCACTTTAGTGGAATGAACGGCAACATAGATGTCCCCGCTATCATCGCACAGAACACCAGTTGGCTTTGCAGGTCTGCTATTAAAAAATACCCCGACGCTGAACACCTCTTCACCATTGAAGTCAATGCACAATAGCTTCTTACCCTCGTACTGTGCGAAGATCAGGCTATCATTCTTGCCAATTGCCACGTAATAGTCAATATTGTCGTTAATTGCGCATGTAACGAACGATCCGTCCACGCCGTAGACAGAAATGGTGTTCCTGCTTCTGTCAGCCACTGCTAGTCTTTGCTTGTCTACAGCAATGCCAGTGTTGCTACTCTTTGAGAGTCCCTCTGAATCTTCTCTTGAAGTTGTGAAGCTGCGAATCGGCTGTAGGTTGTTGTCGAAAACCTTTACCTTTTCTTTGTCTGTGACATAAAGTAGGTCATTGCAGGACACCGCAACACCCCAAGGAGCTTTTAGATGATGCTGATCATCCCCCTGAGCAACTGAGGTTTTGTACTGCCCACTGGATTTAAACACCGTCAGCCGTTTTAACGTTGTATCTGTTACAACAATATCTCCATTGCTGAAACATGCAACACCCCTGGCAAAAGAAAATTCCCCTTCACCTGTGCCCTCCTTGCCGAACTCCTCCTTCAGTTGCCATTTCTCTTTGACGAAAATTTCTCCGAGATCTGCATCATTGCTGACAACATCATGACATTTCACCCCGATGAACGACTGGTCATACTTAACGGGTTCACACTTGAGTTCCGTCTGCAATTCCAAGTTGTGCATCACTTTCGGCTTGAGCTCCATAAGTTCGAAGTCATCAGCTTCGTGCATCAAGTTATTCACAGCTGTGACGATCTGATCCGCGCATTCCACTTGTTCACGGATGTGTGTCAGTGCATTTTCGAACTCGCTGTCTCTGTCACGACCGATTATGTTCACTTTTTCGGTAAGGATCTCTACCTTGGTTCTGATTTTAGCCATCTCCGCTTCTGCTTTTGCCGAAATGTTATTCAGAGCCCGAACCATATTCTCTTGTAATCTCTTTCTAGCATTGTTGAGTGATCCTTCAGTGGATTCAAACTGCTGTTTAAGTTGCTCAAATTTCTGCAATTTGGCATGGACATTTTCACGGAATGATTCGACAGAATCAGAGATTTCGGTGAAACTGTGTTCTCCTGAACGGTGTTCTGTTGCTGCACACATTGCACAAATCATCACATCGCAATCTTCACAGTAAAAACAAAAAGCGTAGTCGTTGTGTTTGCTACACTTCCTGGTGTTGGGTTCACCTGGCTTGGTTTTAGACACCGTCGCTTTGGGTACTTCGTTTAGTATTTCAATGATTTGGTGATTTTTAGTAAGTTTCCAACGCTGGTGCGCTTCCCAACAAATCCTGCAGATGTTCTCCTTACAGTCGAGACACCTTGAGACAGCTATTATACCCTCCTCACACTGTTCGCAAAGAAGCGATGGCTTTGACACCTCACCAAGGACTTTTTCCTGTCTGTTGAATTCCTCAACAAGAGAACTAAGGTAAAAACAGCCAGAAAGACCCTGCAATCCTGCATTGGGTATTTTTGTGTCTCTCCTGCAGACTGGACACGTCACCTTGCCTGTCCCTGGCTTCTGTTTGCTCGTCATCTCATCCAGACACTTCAGACAGAAACTGTGTAGACAGCCCAATATCTTGGGGTCCTTGTAGCGACAGCAGCAGATGGGACATTCCAGATGCCCCTTGCTGATCTTGTCCAGTACGGTTTTTGTTGCAGCTTTTGCCATTATTTGACAAATACGACCTTCAACGTAAATTGTCACAAAACAGTAGGTCACCAAAAATGGAATATTAAACTTGAGACGGCATTTTTAAGTAATAGCTGCCAACCATGTTAGATCAATTTGTCATAGAATGGGGGAAAAATGGGGGTGGATGCCACCCTTGATCATGACCTCGAATGTCAATTTCCGATCAAAGGTCAAATTAGGTAACATGATATTGCGGTTGAATTTTAAGAGCCTGGACCTAATTTTGTGTCTGGGCTTAGAGGTGAATGACACGAGGTACCCGGGAGCTGCGATTAGGATGGGAATAGTGGTGGGTGGCAGTTTTGATTATGAGCCTGAAGGTCTATTTGAGGTCAACAGTCAAATCAGGTAGGATGCACATTTTGAGTGATTTTTAAGCTGGTGAGCCTCATTCTGTGTATACCGTTTCAAGGAAAAAATTAGTTGTGTGACAAAAGAAGTAGCCAAAAGCGGTAATTTAAACCAAATCATGAAACAGGTACGTGTTTGCATAACTCCTACAAAGTATTTTTTCGAACGATTCACTGATTTTGTGATTTGTTGTCAGCAAGCAGTTTGCAGCAGTCTTGCATGAACTCGCACCCTTCCGTTGCTGTATCCCTTCGTGGTGATCCTCCTTGCTGTCGACGGTTTAAGTTTATCAGTTTTGTTTGTGATTTTCTCCTGTTGTTTCCTGGTTTTTATTACAGCTTATCCATTTTGTCTGTTTTTCTGCTAATGATTTGCTCCCCCCACAGGTAATTGCAGCGTTGTCTTTTTCTCTGTTTATGTACTAATATTTCCAAATAGGTCACTTAGGAGACATTTTGTGGTAAATTTTTCAACCGTTACGGAGGCATCGGTCATTAGGGAGATATTTCAAGGAGGAAAATGTTTAACTCCCACATTTTGTGAGATGATAGATTAGGGTCTGAAAGGAAAACATGCATAGTTTGGCTAAGATCAGATTAGGGAATATTGAATTAGGGGACGGTAAAGTTTGAAAAATTTTGTGCACGTTCCTATGGGGATGTCTCCCAAGTGACCCACTTTCGGTAATTATAATAACATTATTACCTCTTTTCTACAGGTACTTGCAGTGTTTTCATCTTCTCTCTTTTATGTACTAATGATACTATGTGATTTTCAATTTTCACACTTTTGTTGAATTCCCCTGAGATCATCGGTGACACTGTCTGAAAGACTGATAAATTTTTTGTACATATGAGCTCATTTTTTTCAAGATCGAGAGCCATTTGTCTGAAATGCGGTTCGTTTTTCATGCGAATTCAAATTTCCACTCTAAACGCAAATCATAAGAAAAATTCTGATTGATTTTTTGTGAAATTAATTTTGACTCTTTTGGCCGATTTTACCCCTTTTGGCCCGGGTTTTTTTTACAAACAAACTCAACGCAAATCAATAGAAAATTCTTTCACCAAAAAAATAAGTATTATTACAACCAAAATTGTTTCAGAATTTTTCTAATGATTTGCGTTTAGTTTCGTTGTGAAAAATTGAAGTAAACTGCTGGCGACCTTTGGTTTGGACAATTTTTTTTCTTTTTTTTTCAATTATTTTGTATTTTTGTTTACTGTTTTTATTTTGGGAACTTTTTAGGGCATATTGTTTTCAGATGTTGGTTATTTATTTTTTAGATTTTTTTTATAAATGTTTTAGAGTTTGTTTTGTGTTTTACCCTTTACATTTTGATATGAAAATGCTGTTCGCCCGTGATTATTTATTTTTGGTGAGATTTATTTTTGTGGCTAATAACTTTTAATTTTGTTTAATTAAATATTTTTATAAGTTGTTTCTCAAATGGTTTTGTTCGTTGTTTTGTGTTTTATTATTTAGATTTTTGAATAAGAAGATTCTGTTTGCTCGTAATCGTTTATTTTTGTTTAAATTAATTTTGACCCTTTTGGCCGCCCATAGAGAGCATGGCGCTAGATTAAAGGTCAAATAATGTTTGCTGGTCATTTATGAATTTATTTATGTATCACTTATTGCATACCAACAGCTTTTCAACATCTTAAAAATATCTGTTCATTTTCGTGTGAATCTAGGAAGCTACTATATTTGCTTTTTATGGTACAAAATAATACAACATACCACGCGAGTTAAGTCGCGGCCGCGAGTTAAGTAAGTCGCGGCTGCGAGTTAATTAAGTCGAGGCCGCGAGTTAAGTAAGTCGCGGCCGCGAGCTAAGTAAGTCGTGGCCGCAAGATACCAGCAACAACGGAAGAGAAACGCTCTTTCGCAAAACGCACTCTCCGTTTTCTCATTACATACTTTCTCATTAGAGTGTTCATGGTATTCTTCACCATTCACAAGTAGAAAATGTCAGGGACAAACCGGCAAAACTGAAAACAAAAACTCTAAAATGTTGACTTTACTTCCAACTTCTGACTCGCTTACTTTGGAGATACGTGACAAAAACAGGCAAAAATTTGGCAGAAAATGGATTTTTATAGGGTGCAAGTTAGCAAAAGGGACTTTGAGTGTTTGAATTCTTTTCGGTATGGAAAACAGGGGCAAACAGCTTTATCTGAACTTGATGTTGATCGATTACTTTTGGGGTCCACCTGCACGAGTCAAGAACCATTTTACTGGCTTCTGTCGCTATAGTGGATTTAGTGCGCATGCGTACAACGAACTGAGGGGCATGAAAATACGTGCGCTGGCCTCAGGTAAATCAACTTCCTCCTCCTCAATGCTATGTTCTTCCCAGACGTCTTCGCTTCTAGACTTTTTTTGTGTGATGTACAGTACATGAAGGGTGTACGCTCTTTTTAGACGTGTGCTGTACATGTATGTGTACATAATTATGTACATACTGGCCTAGGGTGCGTTGATTAAGTACCGCCTCCTACGTCATCGTTCACACATGCATTATGCAGGATATTTAAATTGGTTGATGACGACAATTCCATTTTCGCAAAAGGCTTGTTCAGCCTGGACAAAAGAGCCTAAAATTTTGTTCTCTTTGAGACTTAAGAAAACATTGGACATGTTTTGTTAGCAAATATATGTGAAGAATTACAACAGTACATGGTACTTGTGGGATAAAATCACAATTTTTAAATCCGTTTTAGTGCAGCTTTAAAATAGTTGATTGAACATGGTTGCCTGCTATTACCAAAGCATGCCCTGAAAAAGAAATCTACAGTACTTTTACACCTTTGCTTGACCAACTGAACCCCTTTTAAAATTCGCTCGTCGCCCCACACCCAAACAGGGCGCATGGGAAGGGCTGATGGCTTTGCACTGATGTGACATGGCTACTACGTGCACGACGTCCGACCACGAGGTTATCACTTCCTGTAGTGTTAGCGAAGCCTTGTTTGAAGCTTTTGGTTAGACATGCAATGGATATGTGTCGGCGTATGTGATAAAATCATGGCCTTGGTACAACCATGGTAATTTTTGCCCTTATTTAAGAACTATCATTATTCACGTGTCTTTGGGCGATACTTTCAAATCATATAGTTATTTTGATTAATTTTGATGAATGAATAACGCGTAGTAAGAATATTTTCAGCAATGAGGAAGAAAACGAATTGATAACCGCCACACTGAACGAGCTTGCACGCTTTGCAAAAATTCCCACTATGCTCTTCGCGTCATTAGCTGTGATCGGGGGTGACGTATTTCCTACACTAAAATCTGTGGAAGCCACCAGCCCTTCCCAGTGCCCGAGCGACGAGCGAAGTCTTAAAAGGGATTTGAAAGAATAAGAACTTCGGTTTGTGCGGCCTGCAGGTTTCATGTGAGCAATGTACATGTATATTGCATTACTGAATGGTGCAGGCACTACGGCAGACGCACAGTGTCAAAGCCCACAAAACATTTATGACAGATCGATCAGTTCCTCGTTCACGCTCTATAGGGCGCGACATGGTTGTTCAATGATCAAGCTATTTACTGATTTACACATAAGTGTTAATTTCTTGGAGTCACCCACCTGTGCTGTAGGCACGACGTGAAGCTCAGACTAAAGGATAAATTCTTTGTAGGCCCGACAACAGACGCTATTAGTTGGAAAAAAACGTACGAACATGAGCTGCAGATCCGAATGGTGACGGGGATTTCTATTGCTGTTTAGGCATACATGTAACGCTGAGGCTGTGCGACCGTCGGATAGAAGGCCTCATTGCTCACGATGGGAAAAACCAGTTGCGACATTTAGAACACATGTAAGCATCCGACCTAAACTTGTGCGGTTGATGAAAGCTGGTTCAGAGTTCAATGTTACCACAGGGGTGTGCACACAGTGAATGAGGAGGGCGGAAAGGGTATGTGATGGAGCAAGTAACTGGCGGTTATTTTAACGCGCTGTGGCTTGAAGTTTAGGTAGGTTGCGGTCTACTGTTGTCGACCTAGTCTGTTTCATTGGAAACGGAAGCAAGACCAGTTTATAAAGGATGAGTTTTGGAGTTTATTTTACGCTAAAATATCCTCCAGGGGTAAAAAAAAATGTATCGAGTAACATACGATCTGATTTAGAAAATAAAGAAACTAAAGGGAAAACATTGGAACATGACGTGTATATGTGTGGATCAAACCCAATACGCAATGAGCCTGCTGAAAAAGTATGCGCATTGATTAGCCCATCACGTCCGCAACAGCCGACGATATGTGAGTGGAAATAGGAAGCATTACAATATAGATAGGCAATAATATCTTATGCGCTGCCACAACTATAGAATATGGAGGTCGCTATTCCGTTACACTTACTATAGCCATTTCGTATTTCAAAGCTTTTAATGTCATTAATCGTGCTGAGTTTACTGTTTCCCACGGGGTAACTCATTGCTAGGCCTTTAATTATTTCTTTATTAATTTATTCATTTATCGGGGTTTTTTTGTTGATTTTTTCATTATGGATATTAGTTGAGGTTGTAAATGAGACATCATTTTAACTCAGATTTGGAGTTCAGCGCTCAGTTTCTTGTTTTCACACCAGTCATTATTCTTTAATAAAAATCACATTCAACTCAATATTTTGATTTAAACAATTACAATTTAATAAAATATATACCTTTCTTTAATAATGTATAAATCACCTTTCATAAACAGCAAATGATTAACATTAAGATTATGTTCATTATTAACCAAAGGTTATGATCATATATTGGCCACTATACAGAATGACAATGTTTAAGCTTGCGGTATTTTACAAAAACTTGGACTTGGAACTGTCCCAATAGAACTGTCAGAACAGAAAAACTCAAACATGCAGTCTGAATAAAGCGTGTGGACACTATTGTAAGGAAGTCACTGTTTATTAATTAAAACAAGATCAAGCAAATCAACAGGGAGGTGTTGTGTTTTCCCCAAGATTGTTGGCTTTATATTTAGCAGCACTAATTTTAACGTGATAATTGTTAATGAAATATTTCAAAATGTTAGAATAAAGGAGATGTTTCCAAAAAGTTACCAATCGTTATAATTGTAAACAGGTTTTAAAAAGCATAACTTTCGATTCTGGTTTTATTTTTTATTATACTTAAATCTTGTTCATTTTTGTTTATTAGTTTGGATTTATGACCTCCAGTTTATAATGAACATTATTCCCTTTCAAAAAGAAGAGAATTTTCACTATTTTTCCTATTCCCTAAGCCTATTTTGAGGAAAGTAATTGTTATGAAGCTGATTTCTGAAGTGTGATGTATAATGGAGATGTTCTTCCAGTGTCATGGATGGATTAATTAATTTCCTTCACATAAATAACAAAATGACCAAGTGGGGATGTGAGTACTCACTGTGCCCACGCAATTAAAGAAAGTAGACCTCATTAACATGTTACAACAATTTCTTTAGCATATGCAACCCTCCCATTTTATGACTTAGTGATACTTCCACTCTGTACCGTAAACACACAGCACACACTCTGGTTAAAAATCGTTTTACGTAACACGTTGAGTCTTTTATGTTTGCACGATCAGATTAGAATTACACGAAAAGGTGTTGAAAGCTATGAAGACTTTGTCTCTCTGGTTCAAACAAACAACAGTGAACAAAATTCAGGATATCGCACTTTGGAATTAATTGTCATCAAATATTAAAACACTCGATGTGACCGCATAAAATATCTATAACCAATTTTTATTTGCTTACTGATATAAAAGATTTTGGACTTTTTAGAAAACTTAATATTTGACTTTTCTGTTCTCTTTGGCAGACGTTCACATACTGGAAATTATTTACAACATTCAGGCGATTTTGAAAAAGCTGTTGGTTATTTATTTAGCATTGATGTATATCTCAATGTACATTATATCTCAGTGTACATTTTGAAGAGAGTACATGTACTTCTACATTGATGTACATAGTATGCATATGTAAGCATACACCCCATGTACATGTCCATATACATTCCGTTGTACTGCAGCAGCTTACTTTAGTCAGCACTGAAAAAGGAAGTAGTACACAAGTACATTCACGTACAGATGCACAACAAAACCTAGCTTAATAGGGTTCAAAGTTGACGCAGTGAAACGAAGAGTGCGCTTGCCCGGTTACGGAAGATAATAAAGGACAATATATGACAAATAGCGTTGAGGAATTAATAGTGATAAGTCTCTCTCAAGCCCCGGCCCTTCTATGTTCAATTAGAATTATTGTTCTTACACAGTTATTTATAGCACTATGTACTAATGACGTATCACTGTATTCGGGCTAGAATGGGGTCGTCGTATAATCGTTCTTTTGCACGTTGACGCCATAGGCATATGGACCGAGCTTCAATGTGGCAGCTTTACACAATCAATATAGCCGGTTCAGTGATTCCCGTGATTTTTTGCGGGTTCTGCGTTAAAGCGATTCTGACGCGATCGTACAAGTTGCCAGTGAGAGTTTCTGCATATCTTTGGCGGTAGCGTGCCAAGAGCGAATGCCAACAGTAGCAGAAATATCGCACACGTGCAAGTTACATTTGATTAAAAGAAAGTTAAGGGCGCAATATTACCGTTTCCAATTGTTGAGGGTAAATTCCCTGGAAGATTCGAAAAGATAGTTACACAAAACAACTGTCTTTCCCACACTAAATAACTGTACTGATATTTTTTTATCACAGTGTGTCCACTGATGACCCCATTCTATCTCAACAATGCATTGCGGTAAACACCGTTGTACGTCATTAGCACATGAGCTGTTGATTGGATGGTTCCACATGCATGTTGAAGGTTCACTCACAATATGCTTCTTACAAGGCCTATAAGATAATTCTGTGTTGTATATTTCAGACAGAAAAGTGACGTTCTAAGCAGACCTGGAATACATAAAACGAAAAAAAAGCTTTTATACGTTACATATTAATACATTTTAAAGACATATTATTGTGAATCCCATTTATGTAAATCAAGGGATACGAAAGCATTTTTTATAAGCTTAGCTGAGTGACATCATACGATATACAGCCAGTAAGAAAATAATATAGTTTATTCTAATTACACTATGTTCGTTGAATTATTTTCTGCATTAAGCTGGAAATTAAAACAGTAATACATTAAGTCTCCGTTTTATGCACAGTCCTCCCCCAGCACTGCAGCGATCCTTTGGATTGAATCATTTGCCAGAGTAATATAGGTTTTCCCGGCCGAATTCGTAATCTTCCCGGTCAAATTCATGGCTGATCATAAGTATTCTAACGATTTTTTTTTTCAGCAGACTGCTCCCATGTTTCTTTTTGATACGGCAGAGCCTTCAATTATTCGATTGAATAATGTATAACCGTCATTAGATTTCCCGCTGGATGACTCAAATGAAAAAATCGTCCCAGATTTTACTTTCGTGTTCGTCTATAGGCAATCAATCGCATTGTGAGCCTGAATACTTCAATGTAAGAGGATTATACGGCAAATTAAGATATGTATTGAACGGAAAGGGAGATTACAAGTGTGTCCAACGTATTTACTTGAATGAAATTATATGTCTCAAACAAATTACTCATCAAAAATACAGTACAGTACAATACAGTATGGCGTATAATAACACGCATTCCATAACTCAGCCGTGCTGTAGTTTGTACAAGCGTTGATGGGTAGGTGACGCGCAAACCTGATTGGACCATAGAGATACTTAGACTTATAATCATATTTCTCAGTAAAGTTTACCGTCGGTAATATTTTTAGGCATATCAGTGTTTAAAATGTAAAGCAGATTGTTTTGTGGGGTCAGAATATTAACGGTACGCTGATAACAACAACAACGCATCGCCGGAATACAGCGTTTGCCTTCAAATTCAGCGGAAGATCTTAACGGATCGTCTATCAGCCACGATGAGGTGGCCGCTGGGACTGTCATGCCTAAGGGGGGAGAAAACCCGGATGCTACAAGACCAACATGTGTACCGTCAGCAGCATAGTGGTGTATTTCGGCACCGTCCTCTTTGCCGTGTTCATAAAAAACTACCGACATAAACGTCGCCCACTTCATCACAGCATACTCCAGTTGGCGCACGTACGGCCCATGGACAGACAAGCTTACATTAAACATCTCAGTACCAGACAAATCTACGCTCACCAACCTGCAACCTTTATAGTCCGGCAGACTAAGTAGATTTTTTCTACTTATCGCCAAAAATTCAGGTCGAAAGGCGAGGGAGATCTTTTTGATGAGAGATCCATCCGCCTTCTCCAGATATACAACGTTTCTTGCAATGTCAACAATTGCTATTTGTGTCTCCATGTCGACAGCAATGCCTGTGGAATGACTCTTGGGCTGTTCGTGGGAATCGCCTGGTTGGAAGTTTTGGAGCTTTTGCAGATGGACATCAAACACATGCACGTCCTGACCATCTGTGACAAGGAGCAGGTCATCAGAGGTTACAGCAACACAACACGGTCGGGACACCTGATCTGAGCTCAGAGTGGTCTTAAACCGTCCAGTTGGTGTGTACGCTTATTTTGTTCTCCTTTAAATCTGACACTATTATGTCGCCATTTGGAAAGCAACCGACGTCAAATCTATGGACGGGATTTCTGCCTCGTGGTCTTCCAAATGTCTTCATAAACCGCCACTTTTCTTCATGGAGAAGTTTTCCGAGACCAGTGTAACGTTCGATGTTGTGACATCTTATTCCACGAATTAAATCCAGTGATGGGCCTTTTCAACTGACAAGTCCTCGAGTCCCAAGTTACCCATTGCTTTCGGTTTTCGTTCCGAAACTTCGAAATTGTTATCTGTTTTCATCCCGTTGTGTACTGCCGCTGTGATCAACTCGGCACGTTCTATTTTCTCCCTGTTGCTTCTGATTGTTTCTTGGAACACATTGTCTCTCACTTGGAATGTTTGAGAGACAACTGTCTGAGGCGCTGGCATTCACCTTGGATTTGGGCAATTTGGGATGCTTCGTGTTTTGTGATGTCGCAGAGCGCTCTATCAGACATTACTTGCAATCTCTGCCGCGAAAGTTCCATACAGAGCTCGATTTTATTCATCCGTT